CCGACGCTTGGCTTCTCCCTGTCACTCGGGACCCCAGATGCCCAGCTCCTTCCCTGGCACCCAGGACCCCCGACGCCCAGCCCCTCCCTGTCACTTGGGGCCCATGATGCCCGGCCCCCTCCCTGGTACCTGTGATCCCTGATGCATGGTTCCTTCCCTGGCACCCAGGACCCTTGATGCCCGGCCCCTCCATGGCACCCAGGACCCCCAACCCAATCCCTGGCACCCGTGACCCCCGACTCCTAGCCCTTTACTGTCTCTCGGGACCCCAGACACCTGGCCCCCTCCCTGGTACCAGGGACCCCTGACGCCAGGCTCCTTCCCTGGCATCTGGGACCCCTGACACCCAGCCACCTTTCCTGGTACTTGGGACTCCCATCGCCTGGCTCCCTAATGGGCCCTGGGATCCCTGATGCCTGGCCCCCTCCTTGACACCCATCACCCCTGACACCCGGCCCATCCCTGGCACTCAAGTCCCCAGACGCCTGGCCCCCTCCCTGCTTCCTGGGACTCCTGACACCTGACCTCTTCCCTGGCACCCGGGAGCCCCAACAACTGGCCCCCTCTCTGGCCCCCCAGACCCCAGACTCCCAGCCCCTTCCCTGGTACCTGGGACCCCCATCGCCCACCTCCCTTTTGGGCACCAGGATCCCCAACGTCTGGCCCCCTCCTTGGCACCCAGGACCCCTGACGCCTGGCCTCCTCCCTGGCACCTGGGACCCTCGACGCCCGGATGGACCCTCCCTGGCACCCGGGCCTCCTCCCTGGTACCTGGGATCCAAATCGCCTGGCTCCCTCCTGGGCTCAGGAATCCCTGATGCCTGGACCCCTCCTTGAAACCCGTGACACCTGACGTCCAGCCGCCTCCCTGGCACCCGGGACCCCTGATGCCCAACCCCTCCCTGGCACCCAGGGACCCCAATCCCTCCCTGGCACCTGTGACCCCCAACGCCCGGCCCCTCCCAGTCTCTCGGGACCCCAGATGCACAGCCCCTTCCAGGACCCTGATGCCACCCTGGTACCCAGGATGTCGACGCCCAGCCTCTTCCCTGGCACCTGGGAACCATGATCTCTTCCCTGACACCTGTGACCCCTGACATCCGACCCCTCCCTGGAACCCTGAACCCCTGACCCCCTCCCTGGCACCTGTGACCCCTGAAACCCAACCCCTCCCTGGCACATGGGATGTCGACACCCGGCCTCTTCCCTGGCACACAGGACCCCTGACCCCTTCCCTGACACCTGTGACCCTTGACGCCCGGCCCCTCCCTAGCACCCAGGACCCTCGAAGCCCTGCCCCTCCCTGGCACCCAGGACCCCTGACCCCTTCCCTGAGACCTGTGACCCCTGATGCCTGGCCCCTCTCTAGCAACCAGGACCCCTGATGCTTGGCCCCCCAGCACTTGGGACCCCGACCCCTTCCCAGACACCTGGGACCCCCTATGCCTGGACCCCTCGCTGGAACCTAGGACCCTCGAAGCCCGGCCCCTCCCTGGCACCCAGGACCCCTGACCCCTTCCCTGACACCTGTGACCCCTGATGCCCGGCCCCTCCCTGGCAACCGGGACCCCTGATGCTTGGCACCCCTGGCACTTGGGACCCTTGACCCCTTCCCAGACACCTGGGACCCCCTATGCCTGGACCCCTCCCTGGCACCCAGGACCCTCGAAGCCTGGCCCCTCCCTGGCACCCAGGACCCCTGATGCCCAATCCCCCTCGGCACCCAGGACCCCTGACACCTTACCTGGCACCCATGACCCCCGACACCCGGTCCCTCCCTGTCACTTGGGACTGCAGACACCGGTCCCCTCCCTGATACCCGGGACCCCTGAAGCATGGCCCAATCCCTGGCATCCTGGACCCATGACTCCAGGCCCCTTCCCTGGTACCCAGGACCCCCAATGTCTGGCTCCTTCCTGGGCCCCACGATCCCGAGCACCTGGCCCCTCCTTAACACCCAGGTCCCCTGACGCCCAGCCTTCTCCCTGGCACCCATGACCCCAGATGCCCAGCCCCTTCCCTGGTACCCGGGAAACCAATGCCAGCTCCCTACTGGGCCCTGGGATCCCTGACACCTGGCCCCCTCCTTGACACCCGTGACCCCTGATGCCTAGACCCCTCCGAACCCAGGACCCTCAATGCCCAGCTCCTCCCTGGAACCTGGGACCCCTGTCACCCAGCCTCTCCCTGGCACCCGGGACCCCAACACCCAGCCCCTCCCTGTCACTTGGGACTGCAGACGCCCGGCCCCTTCCCTGGCACCCATGACCCCTGATTTCCAGTCCCCTTCCTGACGCCCAGGACACCTGCTGCCAGGCCCCCACCTTGGCACCTAGGAACCCTGCCGCCCGGCCCCTTCCGTGGCACCCAGGACATCCAAGGCCCAGCCGCCTCCCTGGCACCCAGGACTCCCACCGCCCAGCCCCTTCACTGGTACCCAGGACCCTTGATGCCCGTCCCCTCCCTGCACCTGGACCTCGATGGCCAGCCCCTCCCTAGCACCCGGGACCCCCGACCCCCTCCCTCGCACCCGTGGCCCTGATGTCTGGTCTCCTCCCTGTCTCCCATGACCCCCGAAGTCCAGCCCCACCCTGTCACTTGGGACACCTGACGCCTGGCCTATCCCCTTGAACCGGGACCCCTGACACCTGGCCCCTTCCCTGGCACTCAGGGCTCTTGATGCCCATCCCCTCCCTGGCACCCAGAACCACTGATGCCCATCCCCTCCCTGGCACCCAGGACTCCTGACGCCCAACCCCTCCCTGGGATCCCTGACCCCTCCCTGGCACCTGTGACGCCTGATGCCTGGCCCCTCCCTGGGACCCCAGATGCCCAGCTACCTCCCTGGCACCCCAGACCCCCGAACCCCTCCCTGGCACCCGTGACCCCCAATGCCCAGCCCCTCCCTATCACTTGGGGCCCATGACGCCCGGCCCCCTCCTTGGCACCCGGGACCCCTGATGCCTGGCCCCTCCCTGGCACCCAAGACCCCCAACCCCCTCCCTGGCATCCATGACCCCCGACACTCAGCCCCTCCCTGGTACCCAGAACTCAAATTGCCTGGCTCCCTGCTGGGCCCAGGGATCCCTGATGCCTGGACCCCACCTTGAAACCCATGACCCCTGATGTCTGGCCTCCTCCAAGGCACCCATGACCCCCAACACCTGGCCATCCCTGGCACCCAGGACCCCCAACCCCATCCCTGGCACCCGTGACCCCTGAATCCCGGCCCCTTCCTGTCTCTCAGGACCCCAGACGCATGGCGCCCTCCCTGGTACCAGAGACCCCTGACGCCAGGCTCCTTCCCTGGCACCCGGGACCCCTGACGTCCAGCCTCATTTCCTGGTACTTGGGACTCCCATCGCCTGGCTCCCTAATGGGCCCTGGGATCTCCGATGCCTGGCCCCCTCCTTGACACCCATCACCCCCGACACCGGCCCCTCCCTGGCACTCAAGTCCCCAGACGCCTGTCCCCCTCCCTTCTTCCTAGAACCCCTGACACCTGACTCCTTCCCTGGCACCCGGGAGCCCTGGCAACTTCCCTGGCACCCCAGACCTCAGACTCCCAGCCCCTTCACTGATACCTGGGACCCCCATTGCCCACCTCCCTTTTGGGCACCAGGATCCCCAATGTCTGGCCCCCTCCTTGGCACCCAGAACCCCTGACGCCTGGCCTCCTCCCTGGCACCTGGGACCCTCGACGCCCGGACGGACCCTCCCTGGCACCCGGACCCCAACGCCCAGCCCATCCCTGGCACCCAGGACCCCCGACCACCTCCCTGGTACCTGTGACCCCCAACACCCAACCCCCTTGACACCCGTGACCCCTGATGTCCGGTCCCTTCCCTGACACCAAGGAACCCTGCCACCCAGCACTTTCCCTGACACCCAGGAACCCCGAAGCCTGGCCCCCGATGCCCCACCCCTCACTGGCACCCGGGACTGCCGACCGCCTCCCTGGCACCAGTGACCCCTGACATCTGGCCCCCTCCCTGACATCCGGGACCCCTGAAGCCTGGCCCCCTCCCCGGCATACCAGATCCCCAGTGCCCAGCCCCTTCCCTGGTACCTGGGACCCCTATCACCCGGCTCACTCCTGGGCCTGGTGACTCCTGATGCCTGGCCCCCTCCTTGACACCTGGGACTCCTGATGCTCAGCCTCCTCCCTTGCACCCTGGACCCCCAACGCCCTGCCCCTTCCCTGGTACCCGGGATCCAAATCGCCTGGCTCCCTCCTGGGCTCAGGAATCCCTGACGCCTGGACCCCTCCTTGAAACCCATGACACCTGACGTCTGGCCGCCTCCCTGGCACCCGTGACCCCGGAAGCCTGGCCCTCCCTGGAACCCGGGACCCCTGATGCCCAACCCCTCCCTGGCACCCAGGGCTCCCAACCCCTAGCTGGCACCTGTGTCCCCCAATGCCCGGCCTCTCCCTGTCTCTCGGGACCCCAGATGCACAGCCCCTTCCAGGACGCCTGACCCCTCCCTGGTACCCAGGATGTTGACGCCCAGCCTCTTCCCTGGCACCTGGGAACCATGATCCCTTCCCTGACACCTGTGACCCCTGACATCCGACCCCTCCCTGGAACCCTGAACCCCTGACCCCCTCCCTGGCACCTGTGACCCCCGACACCCAACCCCTCCCTGGCACATGGGATGTCGACACCCGGCCTCTTCCCTGGCACACAGGACCCCTGACCCCTTCCCTGACACCTGTGACCCTTGACGCCCGGCCCCTCCCTAGCACCCAGGACCCTCGAAGCCCTGCCCCTCCCTGGCACCCAGGACCCCTGAACCCTTCCCTGATACCTGTGACCCCTGATGCCTGGCCCCTCCCTAGTAACCAGGACCCTCGATGCCTGGCCCCTCTCTGGCACCCGGGACCCCTGATGCTTGGCCCCCCTGGCACTTGGGATCCCTGACCCCTTCCCAGACACCTGGGACCCCCTATGCCTGGACCCCTCCCTGGCACCCAGGACCCCCCCCACCTGACCTCTTACCTGCTTGTAGCGACTTCTTGGCCCTGGAGCCATCCCTGGGCAGCTGTGTGGAGGCAGCCCCGTGTCCTCCTTCCTCAGTTCCTCCTTCCTTCTACACTGGGACCTGATTCCCCCGAGGTTCTAAATATGTGGGCAGCAGGGTCTCCGCCAGGACGCTGACCTCTCAGCACAGATGTTTCTGGAAGGTCTTGCTCTGTTTTCTGTTTCCAGTAACACAGTAACATGGATTGGGTGAGATAAAGGCAAAACTGTTATCTGACTTGGGGTTTTTGTCCAGGGTTTCGACGGGCAGGAGGACCCTGTACTTTGGCACATGGGTATCACCTTAACCCTTACTGTTCCCTCAACCAGCTGCCATCTGTCTTTGAACTTTCAAAATAGAAAGCTTGGCTATGCAAATTTATGAGTGTTTTAAAAATTATTTCTGTTCCATGAAAGCCTTCTCAATCCTAAAGATATATCTAGTTTACTAAGTTATTTGGAGATTATATTTTAATATAGGAGCTTGTTTACTTTCGCTTGTTTTAAAATTTTCAAATATTGTTGGAGTATGGTTGACAAAATTTGTGCATATTCAAGGTATGCAACCTGATATTCTGATATGTGGGGGCCTTTTGAAAAGTTATGGAGAATTCACATTATCTTTTAATCCCTTTTTGTACTGGAATAAACCCAGCCTTTTTTTCATAACCTTTTTGGAGTCCTCTTTTACATGTACATTATGAAGTGATTAGGATAATCTAACATATGCATCTCCTTTCATTGCTATGTTTTTAAGAGAATACATAAGATATTACCAAGTTGTGAGTATGTAATAGCATATTCATATAGTAACGGTGTTGAGTATTAAGATCTGGAGTGGTTAATTTATCTCCTAACTGCAAATGTGTGCTCAGCTAACATTTTCCCATTTCCTTCACTCTCAGCCCTGACAGCCACCACCCTGTTCTAGTGATTAAGTGTGATTTTCTTAAATTCCACATGAGTGAGATTGTGGGGCATTTATCTTTCTGTGCCTTGTTTCAAATAGCCTCATGTCCACATTCATGTTTGTGGATCCATGTTTTGACAACATGCAGAATTTCCTATTTTATGAGATTATTTGTTTTTATTGACACTCAATAGTACATATTTATGGGGTGAAATGTAATATTTGATACATGCTCACATTTTGTATTTATTTTTTATTTAGTAAATATAAATTTTCAAAGTACAGTTAATGGATTACAATGGCTTCCCCCCCCATAATTTCCCTCCCACTCATACCCCTCCCATCTCCAGCTCCCTCTCCCATTCCTTTCACATCAAGATTCATTTTCAATTATCTTTATATACAGAAGATCGATTCAGTATATATTAAGTAAAGATTTCATCAGTTTGCACCCACACAGAAACACAAAGTGTAAAATACTGTTTCAGTACTAGTTATAGCATTACTTCACATTGGACAACACACTAAGTACAGATCCTACATGAGAAGTAAGTACACAGTGACTCCTGTTGTTGACTTAACAATTTGACACTCTTGTTTATGGCGTCAGTAATCTCCCTAGGCTCTAGTCATGAGTTGCCAAGGCTATGGAAGCCTTTTGAGTTCGCCGACTTCGATCTTATTCAGACAGGGTCATAGTCAAAGTGGAAGTTCTCTCCTCCCTTCAGAGAAAGGTACCTCCTTCTTTGATGACCTCTTCTTTCCACTGGGATCTCACCTGCAGAGATCTTCCATTTAGGTCTTCTTCTTCTTTTTTTCCAGGGTGTCTTGGCTTTCCATGCCTAAAATACTCTCATGGGCTCTTCAGCCAGATTTGAATGCCTTAAGGGCTGATTCTGAGACATGCACACATTTTAATGATCAAATTAGGATAATTGGAATCCATCACTTCATATATTCAAGATTTATTTGCAGTGTGAACATTCAAAAGTCTTTCTTCTAGGTATTTAGAAATATACAATATATTACAGTTGACAATTGTTACTCTACTGTGTAATAGAACACAGGAAAGGGGGCTGGTGCTGTGGTGCAGTGGGTTAAAGCTCCAGGCTGCAGTGCCGGCATCCCATATGGGAGCCAGTTTGAGTCCCAGCTGCTCCATTTCCGATCCAGCTCTAGGTTATGGCCTGGGAAAGTAGTGGAGGATGGCCCAAGTCCTTGGGCCCCTGCACCCACATGGGAGTCCTGGAAGAAGCTCCTGCCTCCTGGCTTCAGATCAGGCTCCAGACATTGCAGCCATGTGGGGAGTGAACCAGCGGATGGAAGTCCTTTCTCTCTGGCTCTACCTCTCTCTCTATAACTCTTTCAAATAAATAAAATAAATCTTTTTAAAAAAAAAAGAACACAAGAAGGATTATTTTTACAATAAGGAAAAATACTTTTTCAATAAAAGTAAACCTTTCTGAGCTTTAATTAATTCATTTTTTTTATTTTCAGCATTTTTTGAGAAACCTAATTAACCTTGAAGAAACCAAAAATGATACATCTGTTAATACACTAAAACAAAGTAAATCTTTGAGAACAAGTTTTACTATTAACTCTCATAATCCAACTCTTTGAGGACAAGGGGTCCTGCATGGGAAATTAGTGCACAGAAACTCCTGTTGTTAATTTAACAATTAACACTCTTATGTATGTGGTCAGTGATCACCGAGGCACTTGACATGCACTGCCTACGCTGTGAAAGCATTTTTTTAAAAAAGATTTATTTTATTTATTTGAAAGAGTTACAGAGAGAGGTAGAGACAGAGAGAGAGGTCTTCCATCTGGTTGTCCACTCCTCAAATGGCCACAACAGCCAGAGCTGTGCCAATCTGAAGGCAGGAGCCAGGAGCTGCTTCTGGGCCTCCCACATGAGTACAGGATATCCTCCACTGATATCCCAGGCCATAAGCAGAGAACTGGATTGCAAGAGAAGCAGCTGGGACTAGAACCGGCACCCATATGGGATGCTGGCGTTTCAGGCCAGGGCTTTAACCCACTGCGCCACTTCACCAGCCCCAAGTGGAAGCCTTTTGAGTCCACTGACTCCTTCCATATTTAGACAAGGCCATGAGCAAATTGGAAGTTCTCCCCTCCTCTCAGAGTAAAGTACTTCCTTCTTTGATGACCACTTCTTTCCACTGGAGTCTCACCCAGGTAGGTCCTTCATGTAGGACACTTTTTGCCACAGTGTCTTGGCATTCTATGTCTGAAATACTCTCATGGGATTTTCAGCCAGACCAAAATGCGTTAAGGGCTGATTCTGAGCCCACAGTGCTACTTGAAGTGATTGTCATTCTATGAGTCTGCTGTGTGGACTGCTTCCCATCTTGGAGCATTCACTCCTTTTTAATTCTATTATTATTACCAAACACTTAATCCTATTTATATAATCATTTTAACACTTAATCCTCTCTATATGATCACTTTAACACTTAATCCTACCCATATGCTCAATTTAACACTTAAAGTGCTGTTTTTTTCCACCTAGCTCAAGGGGACTTGGGGTCCCATGGCAAGTTTTTAAACTGTACCCTGAAAAGTTAGTCCGTAATAATGTATGGAGAACTATACAGTTTTACAGTTATAAACTTCATAATTTCACAATTACAACATTAGGAACCTGGCGATTCTGCCAACTGTGCCTGCCCTCCCATCCCCGTCCCACCCCCTTCCTCCTGCCTCTCTTATTCCCACTCTTATTTTTTACTAATATTTATTTTCAATTAACTTCCTACACATATGATTATCTCTGTATTAAGCAAAAAGTGCAACAAATAGCATGGAAAAAAACTGTTCCTCTATAGTCGAGACAAGGGCTGTACAAAGTCATTGCTTCTCAAAGTGTCAATTTAACATCTATAGCTTGTCTATTAGGTGCTCCATTAGTTACCACAGGTCAGGGAGAACATATGATAATTCTCCCTGTGGGACTGAATTATTTCACTAAGTGTGATGATTTCTAGTGTCATCCATTTTGTTGAAAATGATTAGATTTTTTACCACTATGAAGTATTCCATGGTGTACATATCACATAATTTCTTTATCCAGTCTGCAGTTGATGGGCATTTTTATTGATTCAGTGTCTTAGCTGTTGTAATTGAACTGCAATAAACATAGGGGTGCAAATAACTCTTTCAAATGCTGATTTCCTTTCCTTTGGGTAAATTCCCAGGAGTGGGCTGGCTGTGTCATAGGGTCGGTCTATATTCAGATTTCTGAGGTATCTCCCTACTGTCTTCCATAGTGGCTTTGCCAGTTTACACTCCCACCAACAGTGGATTAGGATGCCTTTTCTCTAAAAAAAAAAAATAATAAAAAAATAAAAAAAAAAAGAGCCGGCGCCGTGGCTCAATAGGCTAATCCTCCACCTTGCGGCGCCGGCACACCGGGTTCTAGTCCCGGTTGGGGCGCCGGATTCTGTCCCGGTTGCCCCTCTTCCAGGCCAGCTCTCTGCTATGGCCAGGGAGTGCAGTGGAGGATGGCCCAGGTGCTTGGGCCCTGCACCCCATGGGATACCAGGAAAAGCACCTGGCTCCTGGCTCCTGCCAGGATCAGCGCGGTGCGCCGGCTGCAGCGGCGGCCATTGGAGGGTGAACCAACGGCAAAGGAAGACCTTTCTCTCTCTGTCTCTCTCTCTCACTGTCCACTCTGCCTGTCAAAAAAAAAAAAAAAAAAAGGATGCCTTTTCTCCCACATCCTCACCAACATTTGCTGTTTCTTGATTTCTGTATGAAAGCCATTCTGAAGGGGGTGAGGTGAAACCTCATTGCGGTTTTGATTTGCATTTCCCTGATGGCTAGTGATCCTGAATATTATTTCATGTGTCTGTTGGCCATTTGGATTTCCATTTTGAAAAATGTCTGTTTAAACCTTTACACATCCTTTAATTGTGTAGTTTGTTTTGTTGTTGTTGAGCTTCTTGATCTCTATATAGTCTGGTTATTGATCTTTTATCAGTTGTAGAGTATGCAAATTGTTTCTCCCATTCTGTTGCTTGCCTCTTCACTGAGTATTTTTGCAGTATAGAAACTTCTCAATTTGATGTAATCCCATTTGTGAATTTTGGCCTTGATTGCCTGTGCCTCTGGGGTCTTTTCCAAGAACTCTTTGCCTATGCCAATGTCTTGCAGGGTTTCCCCAATGTTCTCTAAGAATTTGATGGTATCAGGTCATAGATGTAGATCTTTAGTCCATTTTTGAATGGATTTTTGTGTAAGGTGTAAGGTAGAAGTCCTGCTTCATACTTCTGCATTTTGAAATCCAGATTTCCCCAGTACCATTTGTTGAAGAGACTGTCCTTGCTCCATGGATTGATTTTAGCTCTGTTGTCAAAGATAAATTGTTGTAGATTCTTGGATTGATTTCTGGTGTTTCTATGCTGTTCCATTGTTCTACTCATCTGTTTTTGTATCAGTACCAGTCTATTTTGATTATTACTTCACTGTAGTATGTCTTAAAATCTGGTATTGTGATGCCTCCCACTTTGTTTTTGTGTATAAGATTGCTTTAGCTATCCAGGGTCTCCTATGTTTCCATAGGAATTTCAGTATCACTGTTTCTACATCTGAGAAGAATGTCCTTGATGTCTTGAGTGGTATTGCAATGATTCTGTAAATTGCTTTCAGTAGTATGGGCATTTTCATGATATTGATTCTTCCAATCCATAAACAAGGAAGATTTTTTCCATTTTTTTTGTATCCTCTTCAATTTCTTTCTTTGATGTTTTATAATTCTCATTGTAGAGATCTTTGACGTCCTTGGTTAAATTTATTCCAAGCTATCAGAATTTTTAAGGCTATTGTGAATGGGATTAATCTTGGAAGTTCTTTCTTAGCCATGGAATTGTCTGTGTATACAAAGACTGTTGATTTTTGTGTATTGATACTATATCCAGCTACTTTGCCAAACTCTTCTATGAGTCACAATAGTCTCTTAGTGGAGTCTTTTGGATCTACTATATACAGAATCATGTCATCTGGAAATAGGGATAGTTTGACTTCCTTCTTCCCAATGTATCCCTTTGATTTATTTTTCCTGCCTAATGGTTCTGGCTAGAACTTCAATGACTATATTGAGCAGCCATGGTGAGAGTGGGACTCCTTGTGTGGTTCTGGATAATGGTGGAGATGCTTTCAACTTTCCCCCATTTTAAAACAAGCAAAAGTAAACAAGCTCCTATATTAAAATATAATCTCCAAATAACTTAGTAAACTAGATATATCTTTGG